GGTGAGGTGAGGTGAGGTGAGGTGAGGTGAGGTGAGGTGAGGTGAGGTGAGTTGGTTGGTTGGTTGAGTAAGTGAGTGAGTGAGTGGGTGAGTGAAAGTAATAAGATCCCGGCACCACCATGTGGGAAAAACATGGAAAACGCAGCCTCCCATCAAAACAGGTTCCACGGGCAGCGCCAGACCCTCATTGACGTCCTGGCTGAGAAGGCCCCCGATGAAGTCCCGGGCCCGCCGGCTGCGCCGAAGAAAGCGCTGCCACCCATCGAAGACCAGCTGCAAACGGACCACGTCGGTATGGCAAAGGCCTTGGGAGGATGAGGATGAGGAATCCCAAACCACTTCCGAGGGCCAAGAAAGTCCTCATCAAAGGGTTGGCTCCAGAGATGGGGTGATCGAAAAATGCACACGCACCAGCTGAGTCCATGGAGTGTTTTGGGGCCCGCAGGATTGGACACGAGGGACTTCTGGCCGTCCGATGCGAGTTCTCTTTGCACAAAGCAAATTTAAGTTACAGTTACAGTATGTTACAGTACAGTATTCTTGTCTTCGAGGATGGGAGTTCTGCGGCTTGTGGCGAGGTTCACTGAGTGCACCTTGGTACATGTCTCATGCTAGACCGTCAATGCACGTGGCAGAATTTATCCAGTGTCACATTCAATCAAATCAGGCATGAATGTACGGTGTCATATCAAATTTACTGAAGCGAAAAACTCCCCAATGCTAATGGTCCCACATGCTTCCGATTACTTTATGGAATGTTGAGGATTGCTGTCCATTGGTTGAACACACGTTGGTCCCATGCAGTTACCATCCACAAGGGGTTTGAGCTGGGCGGTTCGGGGACATGGTGGGCACGAGTTGCCAGTCGCAATGGCAAAGTAGGGCCCAGGGATCCACTAAAAGAATCAGACACAAGAATGTTCCATCCACCACTTGATTTGCCTTTTGGGTGGACAAACATCTGCACCCCCCTCGAGGCAATAATTCTTATATATATATATATACTGTTTACCTCAAAGATAGAAGATATTCGGGAATTAATTCAAATAGAAGATGCAGAGTTGGGGGTGCCCAGGCAACGTGTCAAATAGAAGATATATACAGTCGCAGAGGTAGCTCCTGAGATCAAATTTGGCCTTTCTTGGTCAAAACCTCTTGAAGGAGTTTGGAAGCCACATTTCACTGGTATTTACAGCAAATCCTGCTTGTTTGCCTCTAACATGACTCGGGCTAGCCGGCGGAAAATTCTTTGATTTTTGCACCCTATGTCGGTTTATAGGGAGCAACTCTTGCAACATGACCATGTTTGTCTGGACTGGTAGAAAACTGCAAAAAACCTGCAGTTTTTTTGTGTTTTGGGATGTCTTACCATTGACTCATCAAGCGCGCACAGACGCTCAGCGCCACGCTCATGGCCAAGCGCCGCTGCCCGCCAGCCAAGCTCCGCGCCAAACGCTGGCGCTCTGCCTCGATTGCAATGTCAAACGACGGAGCAGTCCATGTCAGAAGTCGAACCACGGCACTGATGCAACACAAGAGGATACAAATCGAAGAGGATTACAGTTACAGATCGAGTTCGGAGAGAGTAGTTGTGGCTGATATCTGAACGAGTTTGTTCTAGATTCTAGTAGAATCTATTTGATGGCGTTGATGTAATATGGATGTTTGGCAAACACAGGTTCTCCAAGTGGTTACCCATGTTGGAGACAAACATAGAGAAACCATCACCGTCAAGTGTGCTTGATGCTACATGGCGGAGGCTTCTGCTCCCTGGCACCGGGTTGCCTGCCATCCAAACCCGACCTAAGCCAGGGATAAGCGCTCCGCTGTTGGGATGAACAACCAGCCCCCTGCATGACCAATTGTTACAACCTGCCCTGCATGTCACCAGCAGGGCACACACACACACACACACACACGCATGCGCACACTCGCACCTACTAACGCAAGCACGAACACGCGCGCGGGCGCCCCCACACACACACACACACACACTTGTGAAGTCTTCTGAGTTCACACTTGACTCTAAGTTATTTAAAGACGACCCGAGCCTGTCAATGGCCATGTACAAACCGCAAGGTGAAGGAGTCCGCAACAATATAGCCTAAACTCACAGATCTTGAAGGCAGGCACATCGATCCAGCGTCCCGGATCGATATCACCAGCACACATCCAGTGTCTTCGCTGGTGCAAGACTGGATGGGCTGCTTGCACTGCCCTGCGATTTGCCTGCAATGAATTATGGTGAATCCCCTTAAGACGGGGTGTCACACACCTAGGTGTGTCAGTAAGGAACATAGTCTTCTCGTATGAGTGACCACAAAGATTGGACAAAGAATAGTCTTAGGTCAATTATTTACAATAGGTCTCAAGCATTCCCCAAGAATCCAACGGATGCTGCTCTGAGTCAGTGGTGCGTCACAATATGTGTCCATCCAAATACCAACTGTCGGCTTTGGATTCTCTCGCTGCATCGAACAGATTCTATGACCCGATGAAATGCTTGTTTTATCCAAGCGAGTCCAAGTGAACCTGTGTGTTCTCTTGCAAAAAAACGGGTACGGACACATGTAGAAACTACCAAGCCAGTACATACGGGGAATGTGAATCCAGCCATTCATCCTGTGCTATCCTGTGCACGTCCTTTGGTCGCTTTGAACGTCAGTCAGTGGAAAATCGAGTGAGGGGAATGATGCTGCCACCCAAGATCAGCTCGCCTCTGCAGAGCGTTGCTGGGAGTCATGGCGAAAGGCTTGCCCAATCGCCTAGCATAACAGCAGCAGTGAATAATTCGAATAAATTGTTTTTCGTGAATCCTGTTTTCAGGGTGCCAGTAGGGTAGCAGTGTAGCAGGATCTTTCGTCCTGCAGGGGCTTGTGTGCAAGATTTGCAAACTTTTACTGGTCTAGGTGGAAAATATCATTGACCTCCGGATACTTACTGTGGCCAAGGACTTCTAGGACGACAGCAATCCGAGTAGATTTGCCTATTCATCTAGGTGTGGGCGCATACCCTTTGCGTTGTCTTCTACCAACAGGGTAGTTGCAAGTAAGTAGGAGGATGCATTTCTTAAGTATGTCCTCTGGCCATCGGGGCCCGGTGGTGGAGATTTCAGGGGAATGTCCGGGCATCCGGGCCTAGGTACTGCTTTATCCTTTAACCCTAGCCAGGATCATCGGGATCATGGGATTCCGGACCAGTCACGACTGCTGCACCCCCGACTCAAATCAGGTGGGTGAAACATTCCAAAGTCCCCAGTACCAAATCCGCTGCCGGTCGCAAGTGTTTTGCCAGAATCCGGTGCTTCGTCGCGCTTCGTCGTCTCCATCGAGAAAAAGACTTGGGCCGGGGCGCCTGACTTAAAGTCCCAGACGAAGTCCATGTGGCTCCAAGTCCAAGAGTTCACTTCTGGATGGACGCCACTGATACTATCTCTACTTGATACTCTGGGCAAAATGACCCAAGCAACTGTTGAGGGGTTTGGAAGCACTGAATGGGCAGGCGACTGCAGTGCCGCTTCTGTTTGCCGACTGCAATCTTGGAATAGTTTTCAGGGGTGTTTCATGAGGAAGAGAGTCAGGTGTCCAGCATGTGCACGGGATATCCTTATATATACTGACTCTTATATAATATACTTACTTAATTTCTTGGGGGAAAGAGAAAGGTTGGCATGGCAGCTCTTGAACAATGGCGCGCCAACCCGCAGCATATTAGCACACATCAAAACCAGCACATCTAGCAGGAAGAAGGTCACCTGCCTTTTCTACGCGAGGGGCACAAAAGAAACAACTACAGTATTATTGTAAACATCAGACCATAGCAGCATCGTGGGATCCCTCTCGAGGACAAGAAGCATCCGATGATCACCCTGGGACACCAACGGAATGCAAATGACCTGCTTTCAGTTGCTCAACCAGCGTGCTGTCCGCTGATGTTTAATCGGTTGGAATCTTTGCCCAACCAGGTGGACAGAACATGACACAATGGATCTCGCGTTCCTTGCATGCCATCAAAGCAGGTTCTCCATGTTCCTCACTTCCTCTTTTTGAAACAAAGCTTGCAACTACTGCCATTCATTTTTGGAACCTGTCTTTGGAAGGTGAGGGGTTGCGAATTCAACTGAAGGCTTGCTAGGCTTGCTTGAAACTTGTTCCAGTTCTTGCATGTCTGCCATGGGTCCGAAAAAGTGATCGTCCGGCTGCCATCGTCGGTCTGCTGGATATTTCACTGGCTACTCCCTGTTGGGCAGGCAGAAAACAATATGTGTGGCATGGTTGAAAGTTCAAAGGTATCAATATGGTTTGCCCACTGCTCGCGCATTTTATATGAACCACGACAAATATTAACACTGAAAAAAACATTCAAACACTTGCATCTTGTTTCACATAGATGGCATGGTAATGGATGATGATCTGAGGTCAATCGACCCTCCAGCCCTACAGGACTATCTAGCGAACATGCCAATACAAAAAATATGTACAGTAAATAACATATCTCTCAAACATTCTAAAGCAAGAGATTCCCTCCACAACCGTCACTTGAAACAGGATAACTTTGGTTCCAATGGCATCAACCACACCAAGACAGATGCAGCTGCTCACTTGCCACGTGCTCCACTAGGATACTATATACAGCGATACGTCCAAAGCCATTTTTCAAATCATGTTTCTCCGGCGCATCATGCTCCTTGAGATTGGGCACAGGAATCAAAGTTTGTGCTGGAAACCATCACACAGCGTTTGCGCTGGCAACTGTGCTGACGCTTGACTTGTGATGACAACACAGCTACATAACACGGGTGCTTTATCATTCGCGCCCCAATTCTGAGACGAAAACACACAACTCCTCTCCTGCCGTCGCCAGCCAAGTGAAAAGCTCCTCGCCCAAAGCTGGAGCGCCTGGGACCTGACATCCGGAAGCCGGAAGGCGCAAGCGGCGTAACGATTCGAGGAAGAACGACTCGCTCTCACCACCTGGGCGAGTGAAAACATATGAATATACAAGGATATTATGTATGTATTTATAATGTATTTATAGATATTTATAGTACTTTGAGGTGTTTTTTGGTACCATTTCGGTCGTCCAATCAGGTGTCATTCCAGTCGCTCGGTGGGTCGCTCCGTGGGGTTGCCCAGCCTTAAGTGATTCCAAAGGATCCCCCTAAATAGTTAAAGAACTTCTCAACCTGCACCTAAGGGTCCTCATCTCACCTTAGGGGCACTTGCCAATGTCTGTGCAGGGTCCATCTCTGACCATTTAACCTTCAATTCATATATATATATATATAGTTGCTGGCTGTCGCTGGCCTTCCCGCAACTCTTCTTTTATAAACACTAGGTGACCTGCAAAGCTGACGCTAGTCTAGCTGAACTCTCCCACGTGTTTGCTTGCATCAAGATGCAACACTCTGAGCCCAGAAAGCCACACAATCTGCGCAGTGACCCTGGCTGCTCCAAGTGTCCTCGAACGAATTGGAAGGCCCGAGGCTGGCTGAAACGGGAGGGTTTCTGATCGATAAATGAAATGCCTAGTGACTATGTAGTTACCTCCACAACATGATAAAAATCACCGATTGATAGATGACCTGTATTACCATGTACTACCCACTTCATAAGCGACTCTTTGACAGATTTTATTGACTAATATATTGACTAGGTCCCGCAGAACATTCCAACTCTTGGCTAGGACAGCTATGGCAGCAGCTCACGCCAACAAAACCAAGGCTTCACGTCAGAACATATCGCCCCCACCCTTTGTGGCAACTGCCCTGTAAAAAGGCCTCGAAGCTGGTCAAATGTACTTCAGCGCGGGCATGGACTCTCCTGAGCAGAGCAAGGTCGACCTGGGGACCTGCGAAAAGGCGAACAGAAGCGGAGCAAGCAAAGCTGAGCTTAGCTTAGTAGTAGTCTCTGGAGGCTATTAAGAACTTTACGGAATCAACATGCGACCTGGTGCCTGGGCAGGAGTGAGGTCTAAGCAAATCCCCATGAATTCAATCACAAAAGAAAAGTCAGCCAAGGCACCAACCTGCAGCAGTGATACCCCAAAAAACAACATCAAACTGGAAGAGCTACCCGCTTTATTCATTCTAGGCCTACGGAACGAGGCAATGCGAAGTTTTGAGAGAAACTCTGCGGGAGGTACTTGGCATCGGTACCTTTTTTCTGATTAGTCTGTGACTGTTCGGTTCCAAACTGTCCAAGTTTCAAGAGATGTACCAGCTCTTCCATGTCGCTGTAGGGGCAAACATTGTCATTTTCGGCGTGAATGAACCTCGCATGTTCAGAAAGATCGAAGCCTGACCAAACACAAGGCGGGCTGGGTTTCAGAAACTCCAAAGTTATCAAACAATGATCGTCGCCCCAAAACGGTTGGGAATAACACTTATAAACAGTTGGCTCCAAAAGCGGGAAACGAGCGGCAGTCAACATCAGCTCGACAGTCATCAATCATCGGGGCAATTTTTGATCCAAAGACATCTAGCTTCTTGTTACTAGTAGTAAGAATGCTCCTAGTAGCGATGCCAGGAGCCCCTAGTAGCGTTCTTGCTCCTAGTAGTAAGGCGCGCAACACCAATACCACACTTCAGAAGGAGTCCCTTGTACTCCAAAACCTGTAGGGCTCTTAGAGGTAGCCTTGGGCAGGGTCTCCAACTGACCCTCCAACTGACCCAAGGAAAAGGCAGCAGTCTCTTCCGTCAGTTGCTGAACCAGCAGTCTCTCCAGTCACCAAGGTCACCCAAGTCTCGGACACACAGGGTCACCCATCCACCGGGAACACCAGCGAGTTCGGTCATACACTTGACACACGCTGCTGCCTAGAAATCGCAGAGCTAAGAAGCTGATTCCTCTCGGATCATATATATCCAGTAGAGGAATTCCAGCTGGAATGCCCTCCCCTATTGTAGCCTATGGCCTATGGGTGTAAAGGAAAGCAGCCTTCCGTTTAAATTGAGAGGGCTTTGGGACATTCTCCAGCTTGCAGGTGGACATTTTGATGCAGGATACCAGTACAGAGGCAAAATAACTATGCAATGTGTTTCTTGGCGATGTTCCAGGTTGTATACTGAAGCAAACGAAACACCTTTTTCAGGGAACCCAAATGCAGGTGAAAACAAGCAAATGATAGCACATGTGAGCAACTGTTGTGTGTCTTCAGTTTCATCCCGAACACCCGGCCGCCCAGCTGGTTTCACCCTCAAAAACAAATTGGTTCAACAATTAGGCAACCGCTACCACTAGAGTATAAAGCACCACGAGAGTCTGCGGATGCCTGGTCATGTCATCTTTTCGGAGTGGCTGCACCCAACCGGCCATCTCTTTTGGCCAGGTCTCCACAGCGGCACTGCTTGAGGCTCCGTCAATCTGCAGCTGGAGCGGCGTTTTCGTTTTCCCCCCACCGGGAAGCTGATTGAGTGATTGGACAAATGGGCGACCCCTGCATCCAATGGGTGCACGGCCAAACCGAGTCATTCGACATCCTGCCTGACTCGGGTTATGAAAAAACATGCAAAAAACAACACGTCCGTATGGGTCATTGATCCGTGTGTCTACCTCTATCTGGCTCTGAATGAATATTTATGTCATATGTCTGTATTCATCGAATCAAAACGGCAATATTCTAACACATTCTAACATGCTCTTTATGCGTGCCAAATGGAAAACAGCTATCGCAGGAACACAACTTGCATCCCTTACGAGACGGAACACCTAAATGCAAGCAGACTTCAAACATGACTAAATTCAATTATTTGCAGCGATTCAGTTCTTATATAAATGTTTCGAAGTGTTGTAAAAGCTTAAATATGCTTAAATGCATTCTGTGATCTATGTATCTATGTCCTTTTTTATGAGTTCAGGACAATGAACAGCGAGTGTACTCACATCCTCTTAATCTTCCGAGCTTGGCAAAGTCCCTTTTCCCAGCAAAAGGTTGACCATCCATGACCATCCAACCGCCTTTTTGGTAGGTTTCATATCCCCCAAAGTGTGCTGGAACGGACAATCCACATGAGACAACAACAGCCGCGACCCTTCGCCCGCCTTTGGACCAATGGCTCCAAGGGATCCAAGTCGTAATGGGCTGCGATGAGCGCCACCGCACCAAAGACATTCCTGAAAGGGGTCAGCGTCCGAAGACAGACGAACAGGATGCGCGGATTGCGAGTAGGAATCAACGGAGCCATGTCCAAGGCATTGGTCGATTGCTGTTCGTAGACTGAAGAAGCACGTGTTTAACCAACACTGCGTTCTTTTGGGCACAACAAATGGTGCTGTAGGAGCATGGATGCTACTTGGGGCTCCTGGCCCTACTACTAGGAGCAAGGATGCTACTAGGAGCAAAGGGCATCGGTAGTAGGAGCAAGGACGCAGCACGGTGCTGTTGCAGGGTGCTTCAGTGCACAGCCGTGCAGCGCGGTGCTTCTCAGCTAAGTGGGCTTTAGCAGGATGCTCTGTAGCATGGTGTTTCAGTGGTTGTCCGACCGTGTATCTGGATTCATTACATCCGTGGGCAAACAGCTTGGATGGCTTTCACCGGCCGAAGGGGTGCCTGTTCCGTGGACTTGAGGCCTGTTCGTTCGATGCTTTCGTTAGGTTGCCCTCAGGTGCCCGTTGCACTCCGTTCGCCGACTCAGCGGGACTCAAAAAGTGTGCGTCAAAAAGTGGTGTTTCGGGACCCCGGGAAAGTTATTTCTTCACGGTGCTTTGTGGCAAAGTGCTTGTCAGCCAGCTGAATCTGATCAATACTTTACTTTTCTCTGAAGGACAAGGCTTTCCAACAAAGTGCTGAGCACAGCTTTTCAAGCAAAGCATTCTTTCAGCATATGATTTTGGATTTTTTTTTGGCAAAGTGCTTGTCAACCACGCGCGAGCAAGTTCTTGTCAGCTTTGGGGCAAAGCGATTCTCAGCCAGCTGCTGCTTTTTTGGCAAAATCTGATTCGGTACACAGTAGTTACTCCAGGGCTGTTTAGCAAATGTTTCTGAACAATTTTGACTCCTTTCAACTGGGTCTCAGTTCAACGGCATCGAGAGTGTTCTCCCCGGCGTTGAAATTCCAAAAGCCTCCAAGCATCCAGAGTGACCCTTGGATTCCCTCCCAAAAATCCATCTATTCAACCTACAGTAGTGACTGAGTCATCATCCGAATCAGTTGATGAGTGGGCTTGTCAATGAACGCACTCAACATCACGAAGTACAGCTCAACTCTCCGAAAAACCCAGAGACTTTTGACTTTTGTTCCTTCACCTTCACATCCCTTCACATCCCTTAAATAACAATCCTCATTTGTCTTCGTCTTTTTGCAAGTGGCGGGTTGCGGCTGGTCAGCTCCAGGGCCCCGTAGGCGCCCATGGAGGAGCCGCAAAGGCTCGGAGCGCGTGAGAGCCCATACTGGGCCTCGCTCGAGCGAAGCGCGGCTCAACAGCTTTCGGTGACGGGATGGTGTCCTGGGAAATGGTGTCCTTGGAAATTCCAAAGAGGATTCGTTGTTGAACAGAAGGGTTGGCGGTGGCTTTCTTAGCTGCTAGCAAATCACCCAAAGGGCGGAATTTGGAACTTTGAGGCCAAAACTTAGACCATGAACATAATTAACCTGCTGCACATTCTGGTGTCTGTTCATTAGAGTGAGCTTGGGCAGGCGGGAAGGTGCCGATCTGTTTTTTGAGACCCGTCAAAAGAATGAAGGCTGTTTCCAAAGATCAGTGATGCCTATGGACGTGACATTATCCAAACACCATCCAACACCCGTTTCTGAAATCGCTGCCCACCTAGTCTGTGGTGGCTTTCCTGTTTTGAGACAAATTCTCACATTGACCAACAAGCTCTGACTCTAGCAAGCATTGGTACATGTGGATGGCTTGCCCCCTGGAAGCAGGATTTGTGATTTGTCTGCTGTGAACATTCTCGTAGGGTGTAGTTTTGAAGCTGCAATCCCAGCGGAAAAAACTTCTTTGTAGCTCCCAAGGTGCACGAACCATCTCCACCAAAGCCATCAATGAAGCCTCCACCTGTGGGCCGAGCCTTGAAAACCATCTAATAATGACTTCAAATGCAGCAGGAGTTTGAAACACAATATATACGATATATAATATATATATACGTCATGCACCTACTTTCTTCCCTGTTGAAAGGTATACAAAGCATCTGCAGCACAGGTCTAGAAGTCCTCTTCTTTCTCCAGTGGTTCAACAAACATGCTGGACAAGAACACCAAATGTCGCAGGTATCAGCTCGATGAACCTCTTTTGTGGAAACAATGTTGTGCATATTCCCTTAAACTACTGCTGCGGACTCTTGGCAAGAAGTATCAAGAAGTAGTAGCCCTCTGGACTAATGGCCAGGAGAGTCCGCAGGGAACATGATGCTCAGGGTGCTCTGCTCATTGTTCGTCGCGCCTTCTCATCATACCTGGACTCCTCGTACCATCCTTTCCGGAGCCAAATGCCCGCGCCATCACCTCGTTCTCGGTCCACCGGACACTGAGGCACCAGCAAGACACACCTCGGGTCCACGAACGTTCGGGTTGCACGTGCGGGTCATCAACCGTGCAACGGACGAATACTTCAAGAATGACAATCATGAACAAGTTCCTTTTTCGGGGGGATGTTCATCAATTTGTCCGTTGCGGCTTGATGTGGCTTGCTTTGACCAACGTCCACCCAAAAAAGCACTCAACATGCTCGACCACGATTGATTTCCTTTTGCATTCTGACAAGTAACTCAGTCACATCTGGTTGATTTATATTAATCATATTAATTTAAGGTAGCTCATTAACATTATATAACTATACAAACTTCTGAGAGTGTGATGGAAAAACTGCGACGCCAGGTTGTATTGTAGAGGCCTGTTCTTTGGGCCTTCTGTCATTTCACCCTCTGGTGGGGTCTACAACATTAAGGTCAAGAAGGAACACAAAGCAAGTGCTTGTCATTTATAGTATATATTTATATATGACCCTCTCTTCCAAAATAAAATGGACATTTGATGACAGCTTCAATCTTTTTTCAACGATTGTTCCAAAAAGACCCATCGCTGTGGGTTAATTCCAGGATTCAGCACAAGCGTCCGCTCGCGCAGCGAGGAAGGGCATCGGGGATCCTCATCCAGTAGTACCCGGAGGGGAGTATCCTGATGGCGTGACCAGGTCGTGAGGTCGGATGTGATGGGCATCGCTTGAAGACTCGAAGGGGGTACATTAGTCAAAGATCCTAAATATACATCATACCTTTTTCTGCATCGGTCATATATACATATATAATTAATATATTCATCAACCGTGGCTTGCTGTATAGTAAGCAAGAATGAAGCTTGCAAAAACGGTCGCCCGGAAAGCGGCAGGCGGGTGCGGAGCAGGTGTGGAGCGTTTTGCTTGGAATTCTGGTGGCGGGACACGGTGCTGTGGGGGCATCGAAAGTTCAGAGCAGCAGGTGGCAAAGACTTACTTGGTCTATTGTGCAGTGCTATGGGGTTTGCATGGACTGAGAACTGGCTGTTTTGTAGTCCAATGTAGTGATTGTGGAGTGGATGAATGGCTCTCTGGTCAACGAAGCCTGCCGCGAGTCGCTGAGCTTGAGATTATATCCGTCGCCCTGCCATGCAGCTGGGCGAGGCGAGGGAGTGGCGCCTTGTCCTGGTGGAATGGGAAGCATGCTCCTATAAATGTGGCGTTTTGATAAGCGGGATGATGCTATGTGTTGCTGGTGAGCTCTGACCGATTCCGGTGTTTTTGTTATTGTGTTGATGTGAAATTTGAAGTCATATGAAATCTGTGACAAGTACGTAATGAAACGAGAGATAATTTGGAAACACACCATGCCTTTTTCCCCTTGTGAAACGATAACTACCCATCAAGCATGTACTTATTGGGGTTTGAATTTGATGAGGAGTGACAGTGCCAGATTGAAACGGTTTGCATCTGTCTGTGATGAAATGCTGCGCTGATGAAATCTTAAGGTGTCCAGTGGCCTGACAATGGGCCGATACATAACTTTACTGCTTCACCTTATGGAATAACCTCCATCCCAGACTTCAATACATAACAAACCACTGCAAAACACTTCTCAAAACACGCACATCACATCTGCATCACTTTCCACTCCATCACGCCACGACATCAAAAATGGACTTACGTGATCCTATCAGTTGTCACATCAAATATTGCATGTTTGGAAAGGTTGGACAATGGGGTTGCCGAGCTCTTGTCATCTTCACCATGTCTAGGCGTAGTCATCCAACTGCTTTGACATGCCTTCTCGTTGGGCCTTACCTGTGTGGTTGGTCCAATATGGTCCAATGAGAGCGAGATATATAATAGAGTTTAATAGAGCGCGACTTAGAGCGAGACTTTCCGTATGGATAAAACCACCTACTGAGAAGGTAGTCGGAACCTAGTGCACGTCCTCAAGCACCTTCTCAAGGAGGGTAAAACAAAAACACCACCCGATTTGTTGATGCAGCTTTCATGCAGGTTTCCAAAATCCCAAAACCACCCTGTGGCTGTGACTCCTGAGAGTGTCAACATCTGCTGTCATGGGGACCCTTCCCCGCTTGATGAGGGACACGGCACAAGATATTGAATGCAATGTGTTGAGCCAAAACAAACCCTTTTTTACAGGGAGAAAATTCCTGAAAGTTGAGGGACGAGGACCCGCAGTGTTTCATCCACCATTTCAAAACAACTGCTATCATATATGCAAATGTAGCGTCGTGTAGTCACAGCAACCTCCTGCCCTTTGGACTGTAGGAACGTGTACAAAAAGGCTGGGAACATAATCATGCAAAGGTGAACACTTCACCCCAGGAACGGCTCGACACATCCCCAGCTTCGTTGGACCAATTCCGCACCATTGGATGGGACCAAGTTGGTCGGAGGATTCGACCACGAAAAATGGGCAAAGTCTTATGCAATTACATCGAATTAACAAAAGACATCCTATCCGGATTTGTTCCCACATAAGTGCCTTGGTTGGTTTTATAGTCAGGTGTCCTATCTGGAGGAAGATCCTTCCAAACCCTTCCACAGCACCATTCGCTGTAGGATTACGACTGTACGCGGGCTTTTCGGATATGAACCAACAAAACCATCCACCAACATCTGGGTGAAGCCATACTAGCCTTTTGAACACGTCCTAATGTCCTATACAAGTACCATGTTGGATAAAAGGCCCCCACGAGACCCATTGGCAATCTCTGGGTGCAATTCACCCTACAGCTGTAATGTTTGGGAGTACATGATCAGAGCTAACTATCGCTGAGGGACCATGTTTGGGATCAACCGATCTATCTACCTACAGTATATAATATGTATTCAACCAATAATTTCCAAGTCTCGGATTCAAAGAAGAGGTTGTTGTCACCCTCCAGCTTGCCCTCGGCTCAGCACATGAAGGACCCAATCTCTCTAGGCTGAGGCTAGGGCCCCTGCTGAAGACTGTCAACAATCAGTCAAGTCCCGTGGCCCATGAGTCATTCACCTAACAAAATGTTGCCGCATTGGTGTGGCAATGTCGCAATCAAATGGATCCAATTGGCCACGGCCAGGGGGCGAATTCACTTGAGACTTCATGGCGCAATCTGAGCTTCAATGGCGTAATATCACAACAATGGCGCGACACCGTGATCCATATAATCGGCATGATTCCGCGTTTTTCCGCTACAATCCATCCAATCCGCATTTTGACTCGAGACGTAGCCTTTGCCTCCAAGACATGGGATGGAAGCACCAGCCCCCACACCCATACCAGGACCCCAGGCTGACCCAGCCAAGTGGCGTGCATCGAGTGGAGGAAAAGCACTAAAGACGCTTCAGAAAGATCATCCAATTTTGGCACATACCTTAAACACACACACGCGCTGGCTCTTTCTAGGTCTGGTGGGTGTACACATGTGTACACATGCTGAACGCTACAGGTTGGAGCAAAAAACATGTTCAACAAGTGTGAGATTCAAAGCCTGGGAAAGTGATTGGTACACGCAGCAAACCCTGAGGTCAAGCCAAGGCGTTGGGAGCAACATTTATCATAGGGATGAACATGAGCGGGAACACGCGTGAAGAAGAGTCTGTGGACAAGGACTAAGGATGGCGCTCAGAAAGAAGCACGCCGCAGGAGGATGATGGGTAAGCATGAAGTGGGCGAAGGTGACCTGGATGATACTGTAGAGAGGTACATGAGGTCGACAAGCTGTATAATTACGAATCCAATCAAATCAAGCCAGTGCACAATTGAAATGAACTTGAAAGGTACCAGGGTTGAACAAGAGAATCCCCACTCGTGAGCCCAACTTCAGGGCTGGTGGGAGGACTTCAGCAAAAGCATGCGCTGAAGCAATCCTTTTCCAATCCATTTCACCAATCCCTTTCCATTGCTACAGAAAATGCCCAATATGTAGCTGAAGTCCAATTTCCATTGCCCAAGCCGCAAACAATACTTCAGCACTCCTCCAGGCCCATCAAAGGTGAAGCATCTCAGAGTGCCAGGCTCTTGCCAAAACGGCCGCCCTCATAGGCGAACACCGCACGAAAAAGCTCACGTAGGGGAGAATGATACTGACTCCCTGTAGGGCGGGTAGTTTTCAAGATCTACCACCTGAGGTGGTTGGAGATCTAGAGACTATTAACACCCACGTGCGAGGGAAGCAGTGGTTGCCAAATGGGCGACCGGATGTACACAGCAATCGCAATTGTCATGGGATATTCCAACAAAAATACTGTGTGTTCTTTCTCGGATTACCTGCCAAGCGAACACATGGTATCACATTCACTTCTCTGTGTATATCCATATATGTCGTACTTTGTTCCTGACATATATCATATCTTGTAGTACGTACTGTAGTCTTTCTGCTATCCAAATACACAAAGCCCACACCAGACATGGCCACGTGCCAAACAGGACCACAACGTACAAAGAACCTCCAAAGAGGTCCACAAGATCAGCCTCATACGCCTTCAAGGGTCCACGCGGTCCCATTCTCATTTCTTTTGGAAAGGGGAACCGTGCTGAGAACTGCAAAGAACATCCTAATATACAATACAACATATATGTTGTTTTTTATTCCGAGTATTGTTTCTTGAAGATCTCCACTTGGCCACAAGTGACCTCTATGACAGAGCTCAAATCGTACGCAACCAAATAACACCACCAGTTTGGCTTAACAACCCGAAACTACTAGTAACAGGTGCCTTACTAGTAGCAACAAGAAGCTATTAGAAACAAGTGCATCGCTTCTAGTAACAAGTGCCTTACTAGTAGAAGTCGGAATGTTTGGCTCTTCAGTCCACCCGGACCTTCGGACACCGGGCATCCCAGCTCGCGCGGCCCGCCTGGTGCCGTGACCACTGCCCGGCGCGGCAGCACGCGACGTGGGATCGACCAGGAAGTCACGGAGCGACCGTCGCAGTGCTCACGCCGCAGGAAGACTTCCAAGATCTCATTGGCCTCGTGGATGGGTCATGAAGTTTCAACCTGTCATTGGCCTCCCGAATTCCGCCACTGGTATAAAGCACACAAAGCACACTGGAGTTTCACGTGAAAATATTATACACAGACAATCACAAACAAATACGAACAGTATATACACCTTTTGGGCACCTTAAGACTCCAGGAATCCAGGAACATCTGGACAACAGTTGGGATTATCATCAGATCAAATTGTTGTCTCTACGAACTACCAGTCAGTCTCTGATTCCAAGGTATCTGGCAGAGTAAACCTGCAAAATCTCGTGCGCCCCCATACAAGGCTCGACCCACGAACACATATGAACTATGGGACCATACGGCGGCCATAGAAGCGTGCTTAATGGATACATCTCAGGTTGAAATCGTTGGATGATCTGGAAGATTCCATGAAGATACTTGTCTAATCTTGTCTGACCGAAGGGGTTGGAAAATCGGTTGTCAACTTCTAGAGAACCGAAACTCATGCAAACGAAACCGATTTCCAAACTCTCCAGCCACACGACCTTCGGAGCTCGCAAAGAATGTCGTGGACTCCAGGTGAAATGCCGCTGCTCATGCATCTCCCAGCGGCGCCAGCCCTGCAGAAGTCCTGGATGACTCTCCGGCTGATCCAGCCTTACGAGGCTGAAGTGCACCAAGGTCTCAGGCTCAACCGCGATCACAAAGGAGCGCCAAACATCGCCCTCCCAGCAAAGATCGACACCCAAATTGGGATCCCACTCCTCCAACTCTTCGGAGTAGCCCAACTCGTCCAAATCTCCCACCACCCGCACGCGCATGGGTCCGGTATCCTCGGTCATCATTTCAGACGAAGGCGTCTCGAAGGCTTCGAAGGCCTCAGCGGCCAAGACGAAGACCAAGCCGGCCGTCGCAGACGTCTGTGGGTCGTCCACCAAGGGTTCCGTGCTGAAGTGTTCGTGCGACCACTCCGGTCCGTCGGGCATGCTGGAGTGGTCCATGTCAGTCCAATCATGGGAAAAGTAGCAGGAGGCGCCCCAATTGCAGAAGCCGGATTGAAAATACTCACAGCCTCGAGTGTCCGAGTCATGTGTGAAGGAAGAAGTCGTATTGCAGTCATCGTCCCAGTTCCAGCGGTCATGCCAGTTCCTTCGCCACTGACCCCACCTCCAGTCACTCTCCGAATAGAGCTCAACATTCTGGCCTTGCCAGCTATTTGTCCATTGCCTTCCATTGCTTTCCTGTCTGGTACGCCGATTCCCAGGGCTTTTCTTACCCTCTTGTCTCACACTTCTTATTCCTGGCTCACTTCTACTGACGGCTTTTCTGGGCTGGGATCTTGAATATCCTGCCCTCTCTCCTTTTTTCATGAAAAACGGTTCCTCACTGAATCGGAAGGCTGCTTTTGTCTTTCCTCCTAAGGAGGCACTTCTCTCTCCTCCCAACCAATTCTATGTTTGCCACTATGGCTAAGCTGAATTCTCCTACTGTCAATGCTGTGAACAAGAACACAGTGCGTTGCTGAATCTGCTGTCAAATGTATGAAACGGCACAGTCCACGCATCTGTGCAAGTGAACAAGCTACTGTTTCTTGACTTGCGATAAGCTGGACCGAGCTTGTTCCTTATAAGATGTCACATGTCTGTACATATCTCAAAGCAAATGGCACTTCTGTTCATTGACGAGAATTGCAGAGTGCTGCTATATACTTTCATTCACACAATTCGGAACCTTTGCGTGTTCTGAGACCCGCTTTTCAAAAGCTGAAGTGGCTGTTGCCAAAGCTCATGGTTTCACAACTAACAAAAACCACCTGTTTCCGAAATTAGAACGCTGGCTAGCTAAATGTGCTGTGAAGACCTTATTGTTGCAAGCAGGGATGTCATCTTTCGATCATGGCAAACATCAGACTATTTTTCACATCAATTCAATTCCGCCACACTTGGCCTTCTTTTCACGTGAATAGATCGCACCATCAATACTGCCACACCATCGCTGCACCCGCGGTCGCAAAACGCCGGTCGCACAACGCCGGTTGTTGCCCAAGCAGTGAGACAAAGGAGCGTGGCGAGCGTCGTGGAGAAAGGGGCGGCGTTCGGCCGGGCAATTCACCCATGCCAACCCGAACTGGCGAAGGACTGCTGAGTGGACAAGTGGTAGGGTGGAGGAGTGGCTTCTACCGCTGTTGGAAGCCTGTGGACCTGTTTTCGAAAAGCGGTTTGGAGGGACGGCTGTTATGCGGTTTTGGATGAGACATGAGGCACTTGAGCAGGTGTGAGTGGCTTAGAATCTTGGAGACAACTTCGGTTTGTGGGCACATTATCCACCCAATGCCAATGCCATTCTTCACATGCGTTTGTCTCAGGGAAGTAAACGGCCATACAAAACAAACAAGAAACTACTGCCTTGCAGGACTTCTTCTAACAAGGGTCGGGAACGGGTCAACTTTTGGGTAAGGCGAACTGCCCGAAGGACCCGTGGACCCACTTCACGTGCTGTTGCTTGACACGATATTTGCGGACAAAGGTTGGCAAATCCCGCCATGCTTGGAAGCAACGAGGCAAGGTCAACCCTAAACAATGGACACACATGGAGAAATCACTTCTTTATCTTCTTTGGTGCCGTTACGTGCCGTTGTACACCCATCAAGCGTCTGGTCTCTTCTGTGTGGGCTCCTTTCACCAAATTTCATTTGGGAACACCAAGTTCAGCTGCACCACCCGACAAACACCAGCGGCGCATAGCACCCCGCCTGACCCGAGGTAGCTACACAAAGCCACCTCTGAGGAGAGGTTGGTGAAAACATTTGCAACGTGAATCTTGCGATTCTTCCGGAAGAAACGGATTAAGAAACTGTTGAACCAACCCTTTCTGGCAGAACAGCTCAATCGAACTGCATGCATGCAGCGTCGAGCGGACGCACCGGACGCGACGCTCGTCCGACCAGTCGGCCCTCAAACCGATGGTCGCAGGTCCGGTCCAAGGGTCCCAACGACTGCCAGGCCGTCTGCAGCAACAAAGGGGTCGAGAAGGCTGAGAAGCTGTTTTCCAGGAGTCGTAGCAAACCTGTGGGAGCGATTCAGCAAAAGGAAATGAAAGGGATGGGAAATCCGAACATCCCGAAACATTCATCACTTGGGATAACCATCCCGCAACGAGAAATATGTTTGGAACATTTTTGAACACATTTCAACCACCACGGAGGAATTTTGAAGAATCACTGCGTGCTAGGATCGTCGAAGAGGTTTGAAGTGGTTGTGGGAACACAATCTCGCAACAGACTGGGAATTATTCCAAGTAAACAATTCGTCTCTTTTCAATGCCTCTTCGACTTACGTCCATCCAAAAGAACACAAACAAAACACACTTTGAACTTTGAACTCGGGTTTGCTCCACGCATCACTTGAACCGGCCCACCACAGTGGTTCCCACCTGTGGCCAAGCGTCGCGAGCCCTCCCGGGCCGAGACCCTCCGTCCACGTGCCTGGATGGTAGCGACACCACTAGTGAGCACACCAGAGTGCAAAGTCAGCAAAACCCCTGGGTTTTCAGGCGTTTCCACAACACCGCCGGCGGTGTTTCTGGAAACTTCCGGGGTCAAGTCAGGCACCTCAAGTAAGAAACACAAACAACGTGTGAGGAAACAAACTGCCCAACTACATCGGACTCAAGGAGGAAGCCCAAGAGGAAGCCAGGTGAGACGAGTCATGGCCGCAAGAGTCAGGAACCCAGGGACCGTGTCAGGAAACGAGCTGGAAACTGGAAACCATGTAAGGTGCAAGGCACCAGAGAAGAGTCAAGGCCACAAGAGTTCAGGAAACTGGAGACCATACAGGGTGTTACCCTCGAGCAAACATAACTACTTACACATAACATATTATCCTAAAGCAGCAAGGCAGCAGGCGGTAGGTCAAATCAAACCCTAAACCCTGAATACACCGATGCCAAACTAGCCAAACAAAACCCTAAACACGCCAGAAGCGAAGCCAGCCAAGCCAAACCAAGACCTAAACAAGCAAAAGCAAAGCCAAACGAACCAACCAAACCCTGAACCAATTATCAGCTGGTTAGGTCTCACGCCTACTTCTTAAGACTTGGAAACGAAACCTGGATCTTGTCACAGCGGTTCCCGTGCCGATCAACAATATCATCTCCGTCATCGTCATCGTCATTGTCGTCCTCCTCCTCCTCCTCATCATCATGTATCCATCTGTTTTGATGCCCCTGTATTTATATAGCATGTGGATGTATGTGGGTTTACACAATGGAAGCAAACGACAGAAAAGCCAATGTCTGGCGGTTTGTTCCAGAACTTTTAACCAGTTTAAGGTCCCAAAGGTTGCCTGGGGTTAAGCTTCCCCTATAAACCTCCGTTCGTTTGGCTTCCCCAAAAATAGACACTTATTAAACACACACTATATACATATATATATATATATCATACTAATTGTAATACTATATATATTGTAATACTATATATATATATTATTAGTATACCATCTATTACCCCTCCAATACCCTTGGTTCAAAACACATGTGCTGGGCTGAAGGTGATGCTGTCATGATAGCTTTAGCTGGTTTGAGATGGAGATCAGGGCCTTGTTCGGTGACCTGGAGGGATAGGTGACAGGTCCAATCTAGAGAACCGCTTAAGACATCGGTCTTCTTGCTGCTGAACACGCGGCCTCTTTCTGTCTGTATACACGCGGTTGTTCTGTCTGTGAACATCATACAAAGACTGAACACTTTGCATCGGAACCTACGTTGTGGGAAAAAGACGTATCCATTGGAGGCAACAGGTCTATTAGCGTAAGCTTGTCGCAATCTGGAAGTGACACCCTTTCTTTGTTTTGCTCTTACGTCGCTTTCCGCACCTCCCTGGCATACCTGGCATATGTGTGGATCTGTTGGAGTGGTGGCACGCAGGTGAATGTTAATTTCCAGAGATTCTCATAAATTCATTCTTCCTGACATTGTTGCTAATGTTTTCTGACACGACTCTTTGCCACTTAGTGTATCTGCTTTCTTGTTCTGCTGTCCTGACGTAGCTGAAAAGCTTCCTGACGACTCCTTGACCATGTTTCCTGACCCACGTTTCGTGATGCCTGGGGCGCATTCTTGACACTGACCTAATTGCTTTCATTCATTGGTAGGCTGCACAAAGGTTGAAGCTGGGGAGTCCGAAAGGTCCAGGACGAACGCAGCTCATCCATTTCATCAGGTAAAATTGAAATGAGCTTGGTTAGGGACAACAAACGGGGCAAATCATATACCCTAGCAGCAAGGTCTTTGGTAAACATTCAACAACAACAGAAAGGATATATAGTATTGTAGCATCTTGTCGCAACATTGGAAGTCAGCATAGCTCGATTGCCACAGGGCTATCATCTCGATCTACATGAAGGATGTGGTGCGATGAGGTGCATGGCAAAGAACATTTCACTCTGAGTAAGCATTGACCCTCAACAGCGATGTCTGGAAGACAAGGGACATCAAGGAACCCTATATTGGTTTGGCATCCTTCTTGTGGCCTTTACAGACTTAGTGACTTTGTCGCGACTCCGGGACGTTGGATAATAATTTATCAACAGACCGTTTCCTCCAGGTTGCGCCAAGTTGTTACTGTCCCCTCTCCATCGGTGTCTAGCCATGTGCGGGCAAACCTTTCTATGCTGTACAGAACACATAGGATTCCTGCACTCAATTCGACATCTGAGTGCAAAAATAGCCGCATTAACTGCCACATTACTATGCAATCGAATATTGGAAGATTTGTCAGTCAGCTGTGCCCACAAAATCACGGAACAAAAGCCCCTGCACCCACGACATCCCAGTTCAAGACAAAGCAAAATTCTTGTCTCAAGACTCGCACGATCACCGTAGAGATGGAGTAAGGGGAGAATCGCACGATCACCGTTATCGCCGTTTGTCACGGTGCCCTGAAACCGACGAGGCCGTGAGCAGACCGCCAAGGGCCTTCATCGCTCGAGTGACCTCGTCACGCCAGGCACCCAAGACCAAGCGCTGCTGCGACGACTGGTCCAAACCTGCAAACCCGGCCACCATGGACCACGAGTCGCGGATGTCATGGGATCTCCATGGATTTCAGTTTTGGAGATTCCAGTTCGTTGGCAGCGTAGTTCTTTCATCAACAGTGGAATATCCGCCGACCCCGCCGGTTGAAGGGGGCGCGCGCCAGAGGAGGCAACCGAGGGCATGCTGGAAGCGTTGCGGAAGGTCTGACAGCTTGAAGCGTTGCTGAAGGTCCGACAGCGGAAGACAGGGCGTGCGCGACGCTGCTTCACAGACTTGCTTTACGGGGTCCGAAAGCGACGTTAGAGATTCTGGGGGCGTACCGGGAAGCGCACCTTCGGGCGATTTTTGGTCTCGAATTAGATTGTGGAAAGCTGTGGCGGAGGAAATCACTCGGAACAGGTGTCTACCAGCCAGAGGACCCGTGGGAGGAGAGAACGGCTTCTT